TGCTTTCCCGCATTATATCCAAATTTGTGTTATATCAGGTCGCGTTATATCGGGATAGAGGTGTATTTGGGAAGTAGCGGGACCAATTTACTTATTACACTGCTCTACAGCCAAAATGCTTCTGAAATAAATGTAGTCAAACTTTACTAATTTGACTACATTTATTTTTTTGGTGTTCATTTTTAGGCATCCTATTTTCCTGCTTTGGATTTTTCTGAAGTCCCTTTTCTTTAGAGATTTGCTAGTGTTTTTTGTTCTCTCCTTTCCCTCAGTGTGTCTGGAAGGACCAGCTAGTTACAGGCTAATATAAGGAGTTTAGACTTTCCTGAAGAAGACAAATATAGATACTGTGGACTGATTGGTACCAAATACTGATCCAGGCATTTAACACAGTTGCTGATAGCTGGCTGTTGGAGCAATGGCTCTGCAAAGTGTTTGTGTACTCTATTAACATTAGGGGTTTTTTTCTCTCTAGGATCAATCTATAGACTACTACTATTTCTATATCAATCTACACATTCAAAGTGATCTACCTAATCAACTAATTACTACCCATACATTTTCTTTGTGTGTCTATTCCCATAAATATTGTCCTCTACTGGACATTACATCACCCATATCTACTCAGGTGTGCTCATGTTATCCTCTGATGACTACAGCTTGGAGAACAATAAGGAGGGCAAAGAGGGAGAGATATAGAAGAGGGAGGTGAGATGGAAAGAAAAAGGGAGGCTGGGATGGGGAAAAAGCAGAGGTAGAGGGGGAAAAAGAAAAAAAATAAGATGCAAAGAGTTATAAGGAGGAAAGGAGGGAGGAAGAGAAGAGAAACAAACAGAAAAGGGCAAAGGTGAATGAGAAGATGGGAAGAAACGACTACTGATGATATCAAACACACGTACCCATGGACTATCACCAGCTACTCATATACAGTAGTATTACAGCCAAACATGTAGGGCAAAGGTGGGCTTTTTTTTTTTTGGCATTTTTATTATTTAAAGAATTTGTAATTGGGAGGCAGAGAGATGCTCTGGGGAAGGCATAACATTTCTTAGTTTTTCATGACTTGATTTTTGACCTTCAGCTTTACTCTCTGTGCTTTGGTTTCTCAATCTGTAAATTGGGTAAAATAACTACCACCCAGAGTGTCATGAACATTAATGTTCACATACAGTATATTTTGGAGAGGGAGGTGGTTTTATTCTGCACTTACCCTTTTGAAGGGATATAAGATCTGTGGAATTTTTATGTTGGGGTTTTGTCTCTCCACCCTGGACTATCCCTTGTTGTTTCCTTAACATTTTATGTACTTATACTGTACACTGTGTTTTACATACATCCTTGCTGTCTTAGGGACTGATCTTGCTGCCCCATATCATGTGAATAGGGATTGCCCCCAACTAACAGCTGCAGGATTGGGCCCTTAAACAATCTTTATCCTGAGAGATAAAAACATACACTACCACAAATAATGTGTGTACTTTTTAAACTAACTTGGTATCTGAACCTTTGGATATGACTATCCACATCAGGCATTTCTCTTCCCAGCATTTCTCTATCATCTCCTTTTTGAGTTAGAACACAAAATTAAATTTCCTGTCAATTACTTTAAGTAAAGACAGTATTACTGAGAAGCATTATCTTTCTTCTTATGTCTTATTTCTCATGCCTGCATCACACAGAGGACATATATTCACAATGTAAAAGATGACAGAGATCGCAACTGTATTTGAGTTTTTGCGTAAAAATAAATAAATAAATAAATAAATCTCCCCCTCCCACCCCCCATTAGCATTGGGTGTGTTTCAAGTATGAGACAAGAGTTAATAAAATCTCTCTTTCAAACTATGTAGGCTAAAATTCCCACTGACACAAAAATGCAGAATAATATAAGCAAGCTGCAAACATACTGGTCCTTCCTTAAGTGAAGCAAGCACTTCATCCCACAGTTTCTGGTTCAGACAGTCTTCTCTTATCAGCCACTGCTGTTGCTGGGTTAGCTGAAAAGCCTCTCCTTTCCCTCCATCTCCCATTCTCATGGTTTTGGATGTGTTTTTAGGCTCCTCTATACCTACTGAAAAATATTATCAGCAGACACAATAAGAGCAGAGTGTTAGTTTCAACTATTAAGAAGGGAACACAAAGCATCTACAAGTCTTAAACAGGAATCTTATTTGTGAAAAACTTTAATAATTTTTTCCTATTCAGCTTTATTCTGGACTGCAGCACAAGGCTACACATAAGACTGTTCATTTTTTTTCTTTCTGAAAAAATAGAAAAAGTGTTAGGAACGGAGAGAAAAATTATACAGTATTTTCTTTTCTCGTACAGTTTTATCCTTTCTCCCCGGCCCAGCACTGAACAGGATCCTATGAGGACCAACCTCTCCTTTACATTTAGTTGAACACTTGCTTCACTAACATTTTTTCTTATTTCACATTCTTATCCCAAATGGCTTCCTGTTTTCTTAGCAGTTTTCATATTCTTGACTTTAAATATATACAACTTGACAGAACTCTACCTAGTGTCAAAAAAATAAAAAGACATACCATTATCAATTGACCGTTTCTGGTTTCCATTGCTCTGTCTGGTTGGCTCCTGTTTCACAGTTTGCTTTTTAACCTTATCTTTCTTCTCTTTACTAGCCATGGCTTCCAGATAACCTTCTGGATACTAAACAGAAAAACAAAGATTTATTTTTTTAAAAGATAAAACAAAATCTGCTGGAATATGGGGATGTCCATTTCCAAAGAAAACTTCAACCACAAAACCTACACATTGAAATAATTTCAAAGGACTCACATAAGCAAGAAAATGAAGTTACATGTGTAACATCTATTTTTAGGGAATTGCAATTCAGTCATAAAATCTGATGAAGCTTGATGTAAAAGGGACCAATCCAGTGAAAGATATCCATGGCCTTCCAAACTCCACAAACCACAGAGTTAAAGCTGAAGATGCTGATTCTGTGACAAGGTAATCCATCCAAGGAAAAGGTTGGCCTGTTGAGAAAGGCAATACTGCCTTGAATCTTCCCAGCTCCAGAACAGGGAGTTGGCAAAGCTACTTGGGGGGTGGGGAAAAACTCATGTGAAATGAGTTTCCAGTTGCCCAGAGGTTCTGCAATCCTGAGAGATTGGCCTCTCTGTGGGAACTCCACAGTCATTGGGTACAAAGTTGGGAAAAATAACAGACACAGGGACATATTTTTTCAAAGTTATCAGGGGAGATGCATTTAAGGCTCCATTTAGCAACAATGAAACAACTCATATGAGTAGTATTCAAAATGAGAAATAGTTGTCCAACTGGGCTCTCAAATAGTGACAAACACATAAAAGCAAGGTAATTCAGTGTTCAGGCCCAAAGCTCCAGCCATAATTCATCCTGCTTTGCCGAAATATTGTAATGTTTTCTAAACTGCTGGAAATCTTAAATATTTTGTGAGCTTACCACAATGAGTATGTGAAGAATGGGGATGGAATTTAACTGAGACTTTTTTACAATTAGAATTTAAGTTTTATTCAAATAAGTTGAGTCTAACGTTGAAACAAGTTTGTGAATTTAGATTCTAACCTGTACATTCAGACCCAATTTCTTTGACCGTTCTATTCCTTCTGAGGTCCAAGGCGCAGGTTCAACATCATCTCTTCTCAGAAGATAACGCCAAACTAAGAATCCACATTTTCCAATTTCTGGCCAATATTTCACCACCTAAATCACAATAGTTCCAGTACTAGTTTATGTATTTTCTCCAACAGCTTATAAAATTGTGTCATACTAGGTCCCCAAATCAAATTCAAGCAAATCTTGCCAGAAGTTGAATGTTCTCACTTCACTGGATTTTCATTGTTTTACCATAAACCATCAAACACACGTAAATAGTCATACTGTATATAGATCAAAGAGAACATAGAAGACTTGATTCATATTATATACACTACAGTTTTAAATCTTCTTTTCCCTCCACTGTCAAATGGTTATTTTGATAAATGTAGAACAGTAGGTTCAGTGATATACATTCTTATGCTAGATGCTAGGATTTTAAGAAGTGTGTGAAAGATTTTTTTGAGAGGCGTGGGGTTAAAAAAAAAAAAATCAATGGATTCCCAGGGATCAGTTTGGTTCTGTCCATGTTTGTAAAAACAGCTTATCTACTTAGATTGATATATCCTTGTTACTATGTTCTACTACTGTTTTTTTGCTTTGAATACTTTAATTTCAAATAGTCTTCAATACAGAATGAGCTAAGCTACATAATCTTTACTAAGACACCATGTTCACTTTCTTCCAATGTAATAATAAAGGCTATCAAACATTAGAATCTGAACAGCATTTTCCTCTTAAAATGCAATGAAGTAGGTAGCAGAAAACTGTGTACCTTATAAATGCCATCATATCTATTGCCTTCCTCAGGGGCGTATTTGCTGATCCTTCGTCCTTTGGAACTGCGCACCACTCGAACTGGTTTACCAGCTCTCCAATTCTTAGACTCTGCTCCATTTTTATCATCCAATGGAGCATCACAGTTTAGGGCCAGTGCCCTAAAAACGTATTAAAAAGTCTTCATATAATATAATGCATCATAAAATATAATGCTCAACATAAATGTGACTAGGTCACGCTTTATTTGCCTTCCCAGATTATGCTTTCACCATCTAGCAGAGGGATAGATAACCAGATTTCTAGTAAAGTCCTCCCCAAGGAAGTGGACTGAGGCCAGAAGTGACCATAGGAGTTTTCTAGCATCCATATCAGTAACAGCTCTGCCATGCATGACAGGGGGAAAAAATGGAAACGTGGAATTTTGTTTTAAGTGTTCAAGTAGAAAACCTTAGGGATGCTAACAGGCAAAACATGATGGCATGCAAAAAGCTGAACATTATTTATATTTTAGAATAGTTATTTCTCAAATAATGTGGCAGGAATGATAAAATCTGAATGACCAGCTACAGCTAAGGCAAAGTTTATATCTCCCTATTCTTCCTTCCACATCATTTCAGGTTATCAGGTTTCTAAAGTGGCATCTTTACCAAAAACAAATAAACAAAATATGGGGGAAAAGTAAAATGTATATAGGAATTAGTATTTTAGCCAATAAACAAACACATGTGAAGATATAAAACCAGTCAAATAGTCACATCTGGAAAAGGTATGCAATAACTGTCCAACAGATCTCAATAACTAAAGCATTACTTTTCTTTGCCTGTGAAACTGCCAAAGAATAGGTACTGTGTGAGCAATAACAATTTTAAGGTTAGGCCACTAGCCATCTACTGGATTTCAGAGCTCAGGCTCCAGCCCGAGCAGGAATGTCTGTACTGCTATTTTTAGCTCTGTACCACAACCCCACGTCAGTTGACCCAGGCTCTGCAACTCACTGCCATGGGGTTGTTTTTTTTTTGCTGTGCAGATGTACCCAATGAATAATACTTTGAAAATTTTTTATTATCTCAGGGTGAGAACCTACAGAAAATAAACTAGTTTTCCCGTAAAGAATTCATCACTGTTTGAACTCTAACGAAGTTTACTAATAGATGTTTGCCCAGGACTTCTTGGCCACGCCTTCATAATTTATTTGTTTGGTTTGATCAGCGGCTGTGCATTAACACTTTGCTAGTTTGCTTTGGTCAAGTCTCATTTCAAAGAGGACTAGATCAAAGCATACTAATGAATTGTTAACGAATGGCAGCAGAGTCCATAACGTTATTGTGACAATAGTGAGAAATTATATATTTTTTACTTTGCCTCTGCCATTAATTATGCATTATTTTACTGTGACAAAATTGTATCAATTGTCATAGTATGTTAATGTTGAAGAGCACAACTCACTTGGAATATCGTTTTAAAAAATAGTTTGTAACCTATTAGCAGCCTGTTCATTAATTATTATTATCTAAGTGCACCCTAGCCATGAAGACTACAATTTGTCATAATTGCAAGTCACTGTAGCTGAACTATATCAAATTCTTGAGGCCAAGTTTTCAGAAAGAGTACTAAGGTCTACGTGCAAAAAAGTCATGCACTGCTATGCATACAAAAAGTTTGTGATCAAATGGTGGCTGTTCAGATAGCTAAGTTGCCTAATGCATGAACCTAGTCTTCTTGTTCTGAAAATGTGGTCCCTTATGTTTAATCACCAGAGAAGTCAGGTTAACACTCAGAAAAGAAATATGGTGGAATTTCCCATATGAACTATCATCTTATTAAATTCAGAAGATGCCTTTTGAGGAGATGCAAAATGAAGCTTCTCAGTGACTTTAGGTCATGTATAAGATGTCATGTATAAATATACAACCGAATGTACAGGATTGGATACTGATCACCTTTCCTGAATAACTCTGCCTAATCTTGTCCCAAAAACTGGTCATATGTTATTTGACTTTCTTCTGTACATAATAAACATGCAGCCATGTTCTGTGAAAAATTGCAATACTTCAGTTTGGCAACCCGGAATACTTAAAAGAAATCTACTTATATGAACATCGACTAGCAAAACACAGATAGATGAAATTCCGTCTTTACAAGAATATCTGGATCATCATCGCTTTAGTGAGGAGTCCAGGGATAAAGGCTGACCATTTAAATGCATTGCTGTACTTTGGAAAAACTGATGAATCATCAAAAAGCAGAAATGTTTTTCGTTAAAATCACAGGTTAGTAGGCTTCTCTTTCTTCTTCAATGCAAAAAGAAATGTTTCTGGATGTACTGCTTAAATGACAGAGATCCTTCACATTGAGTTTTGGTGGAGATATGAAAAGGCTAATGTGAAAAAGTGCAGTTAAAGAACAAGTGAAAGCATTTAATGAAATCGCTCAGGAGAGCTATAACAGATCTGTTCTCCTGCTTGCGAATGAAAATCAACTGACAGGGCACTGATGCACTCCATCAGAGATGATGTCATCAGAAATTCCTTTATTACCCTGTGCTGGTTGGGGAAAGAATTATCATGTTGCCTGGAATCCTATGTAAATAAGGTAAAGAATGGTTGTGAATTCTAAGGAATTTTGTGAGTACAAACCCCCCCCACCAACGTAGCATCTTTGAAGTGCTGTTATTTATACTAGTCTTACAACCACTTCATCTGGATAACTAGAAATAAAGGTGACAAACAAAGCAACTGCAGCTCTTTCTGAGGGACCACTTTAAGACAGCAGTCGACCCATGCTTGAAAGGTGGGGAAATGCTTCAATCCATGTCCACTCACTGAGTGATTTCCTGTAATAAGAAGGCTGAATGCCATGTCTGCTATAGCAAAGATCCAAAAATTAATTTTGAACACTGACATGACCTAGTTCCAGCAAAAACAAAAACTAGACTGCAAAAAATCATAAAATGTATCTATTACCTTTTCTCCAGATTACTTATATCCTCATTTGAGATAAACCATGTTTTATATCTACAGCAACTATGTAACAATTAAACACAAAAAACTAATTAAAAGAATATTAAGGTTACAAAGTCAAGGATGCAAATGCTAAGAAATGCTTGCATTAAGTTGCCTGTGCAAAACTCCTCTAACACGGTCACCCAAGCCTGTCTCTGTCCCTATGTTCTCAACCACCCCCACCTTAGTTCTTGTTGCCCCCTTTCACATCCCTCTGTATTCAAGTGAGGCTGTTCCTTCTCTTCTTCATCACTGCTTGGGCACTAGCAAGTGGAGCACTGAGAGTCTCCCATCTCTCAGTTCCAATGCCTGGCATTACAGTGGAACTGTGCTGCCAGAAGGAGAGATTGCAGGAAGTCCTACTTGGTCTTTGCAACTCTTCACTGCACTATGCTTAGGCGATCTATGGGTATAATGCATGCACAGTCTGGTCAGCATCTAGGAGCTATGATGAAGATGAAACATGCCCACTGCAAGCAGAATCTTCAGAAAATATGGCTGCCAAACTTTACAAAGCCTTTACTGAGCATGTCTGAACTGCAATTTTTCAGAGGCTTATAACTTGACCAAAATTAGGCAGATTTACATGGGGACAGCAAAAGAAATATCCTTAACATCAGCGCAACCCCGGGCCTAATTTCATGCCCTTGCTCCAATACATGGATGCACTAGCACTTCAGTGAAACAGATCTGATGTTTTTTTAACCTGGGTAAAACATATTCCCCAGGTTATGTTCTTGCAAATGGTTAACCATTTTAGCTAAATAAGTAAGTCTGCCTTAGCCAGATACTTGGCATGGAAAATTTCAGCCTGAACACTCAAAGTTTCGCAAAGTTATGCCATTGAAAACAGGATCTTATAGTGGATTGGGTTGCCATATTTAAACATTAAAAAAAAGAGGACACTCCACAGGGCCCTGGCCCTGCCCCTTCCCCGCCCCAACTCCGCCCCTTCCCCGAAGTCCCCGCCTCAACTCCGCCCCCTTCCCCGATCGCCCCGCATTCCCCCTCCTCTCTCCCAGCCACGCGAAACAGCTGCCCGAACGCTACCGGCTTCACGGTTTGCCGGGCAGCCCCCAGACCTCCAGACCCTGCGCTTCCCCAGCGCAGCCGGAGCCTGAGAGGGGAAGCGCCCGGCCAGGGGCGCAGGGTCTGGAGGTCTGGGGGCTGCCCGGCAAACCGTGAAGCCGGTAGCACTCGGGCAGCTCGACTCTTCAGCTACACAGAGCTGAGGTGTCTGGGGGGAGCGGCAGCAGCCGCCGCCGCAGGGGAATCCGCCTGCGGCTCGCAGCCTGCCGGAGCCGCTCTAAGGTAAGCAGGGGACTGGGGCAGGGATGCCGGCAAAACAAAGCTGGGAGTATTTTCCCGGACATGTTCGGCTTTTTGGGAATTCCCCCCGGACGGGGATTTGAGGACCAAAAAGCCGGACATGTCCGGGAAAATCCGGACGTATGGTAACCCTAATAGTGGAATGTGTTAGGCAACCTTAATCAAAGACATAGCTACCAGCTAAACCTATAATACAGCAATGTATTTTCTTCAGCTACAATTACAGTTTTAAATCAATATAACAGGACGCTGATAAAATGCCAGTGGATAGCCAGAGGTACCACCATTTACAAGGGTTTTAGGTGATAAAAGGAACACATCAAAAATTAGTTTTAAATTAATGGAATACAACTGTATTGTTCTTTGAAAGACTTTAATTTATTCTTCAAAAAACTTACCTGTTCATGTGTGTTAATGTTTGATCAAATGAATGTTCTCCAATCCTTTTATTTCCAGAAAGATCTCTACCACCACTCCCAGTGTAAGTGAATTCATCGCCTCGATCCTGTGGGAGAAGATTATCCTCATTTTTAACATTCCAAATTAAAGCATCTGAACTGAAAACACCATTGCTTCATTGGTCCTGTTTCCTCAGAAAACATGAACATTTCCCTTACGCACAATTATGAATTTGTGCTCCGTTCCTACACGACCCTCCTTCTAGAAATTATACCAACACAAAGCTACAGGTTCCATGATCATCAGACTTCTATTAAACCCTTAGCTTCTAAAAACTATGGAGGGAGGGCAGCATACACTGATCATAATTATAATGTTATTAAGATAGAACAAGTTTAGTTTAGTAGGAAATCATATTGCAAAATATGTATTACCATCGCAGATAAATAGGGTTCAATTCTGCAAGGTGCTGAGCACACTGGCCCTGATCCAGTGGAGCACTTAAGCATGTTCTTAACTATACTTCAATGACACTTGTGCTTAATGTTAAGACTGTGCAAAAGGGCACTGCTGGATCAGGGCCAGAACACTCAGCACCTTGTAGGATCCAGCCCATACTAGGCTGGGATTGATAAACAGAACTTCATTAATTAGAGCATTATTAAAATGCAGCTCTAGCTATATTTACTGTAAGAGAAGTTTCTTTCATAAACATTGTCAGACTGGTGTTATGAACTCACTATTATACAAATGGAGATATTTATTTGCATTTGCTTTTCTAAGTACAGTATATGATTCCTCTCCAAAAGCATTTTTAACAACACTAATCAGTGAAACCAAAAGAGTTTTATACATGCCTTAATTGAGTAAAAGACAGGTGTTCTTCGAGATGTGTTGCTCATGTCTATTCCACAATAAGTGTGCATGCTCACCATGTGCACTGGTCGGAAATTTCCCCCTAGTAGTACCCGTAGGGAAGCGCCCCTAGCGACCCCTGGAGTGGCGCCTCCATGGCGTCGTATAAAGGACGCTGCGTGCTCCCCCCAACCTCAGTTCTGACTGTGGCACCGGCGGAGTAGCCTGTTTGGCCTGACCCATCGATGGACGGCTACAAAGGGAGGCCGGGCTGATGTATGACCTGCCGCTGTCCCTGGCGCCCGGAGCAGTGCCGACCTCAAGGCTGCGACCTCAACGTGGAGGACCGGTACCGTCGGTAACAGATGCTCAGCGATCGGCTCTGGTGGGTGAATCTGCGACAGCGAATCGCCGGCGATCGACAACGGAGGCTGCGGGAGCAGTGCCGTGGCGGGGTCCTGGAGTGAGATGACGAACAGGAATGGCGTCGACGTTCGTGTCGCGACTGGCTATGATAGCCCTTCTGAGACAAGGACCTATGGTGTCATCTGCCTCGGTCCTGTCGGTGTTCGTTCCTCAAGGTGGAGCGGTGCCTGGAGTCTCTGTCAGATGGAACCCAGCTAGACAACCTGCTGGGAGGCGACGGTGACCCACATGGACTATGCACAGAACAGTTGCTAAGCGGCGAATGGCGTTGGGAACGTTCCCTTGACCGAGACGGGGGCAACTATGGAGCTCCCAGTGGCGGCTTGCTTCTGAACTGCAGGGCCAACATTGGCGGTGCTCCTGGTACCGGCATGGACATAACGTCCCAAGCCTCCTGCAGGGCCTCTGGCATGGAGGGCATCCAGACATCTGGGGAAGCCTTCTCCAAATGGGCCGGACTACTCTGCTCTACTTGAGTCCGAGGCCTTGAGGCCGATGAGTATCGACGACTGCCCAACATGAGTCTAGCTTCTACCCCAGTTTTACTCCAGTGCCGCGGCGGCGAAGACCTCTCCTTAGTCTTCTTGGCGTGCCCTGTGGATGGGGAGCGGTGCCGACTGGTAGATGGTGCCTAGGGGTCGTCTCACACTGACACCGCGGTGCCTGGTGCCGACTTGGAGAGGTGCGCCGGAGTCGGGGTCAACGCTGACTCCATCAGGATAGCCCGGAGCCTAATGTTTCTCTCTCTCTTGGTCTGAGGCTTAAACGACTTGCTAATCTTGCAGCGATCGCTGAGATGGATTTCCCCCAAACAGCGTAAACAGTCCGCATGCAGATCACTCACTGGCATAGGTCGCCTACAAATGTCACACAACTTAAAACCCGGAGCATGGGGCATGCCCCGGCCTGGGCGCACTAGCTAAACTAAACTAACTAAACTACTCAAATTAACTACAGGTACCATACACTGAACAAACAAGAGTTCTGGGGGCGAGCTATAGCAAAGCTGGAGTAGAGCAGTTCCGAAGCATCTTCACTGGCGGCAAGTAGGATCTGAGGGTGGGGGGAGCGCGCAGCGTCCCTTATACCACGCCATGGAGGCACCACTCCAGAGGTCGCTAAGGGAGCTCTCTGCTAGGAGAAAATCTTCCAGCACCGGTGCATGTGGCGAACATGCACACCTATTGTGGAATACACGTGAGCAATCACTCGAAGAAGAACTGCATAATCCTACTATTACACCTCTCATCCTACTTCTCCTCTTTCCTATCTTTAGTTTATTATCCTCAGTTGTAGTGTCATGTCTGAATTTAGCTCAAAGGATGTTCAAGCAGGGGATATGTCTTTACTTGTATCGGTACTATCCTTAACACACTTTGGGATGCTCAAAATATTACACAATAATAATTGTAACTTCTTCTATTTAATATCCAGTAGATACACAAAAACTATTTAAAGATATAAAAAGCATGTCTTGTTTGAAAACAAAGCAAAATATCTTTTCAACTACAGATAAGAGCATTTTGTTGCACAGGTTATTTTAGTATTCTAACTTGGTCTTTTGTTTGGCTGATGGAAAACGTTGTCCTAGACTGTATCTTCTCTCTGACCGAGCAGTCTCAGAGAGCTTCTAATATACTTCAATTTTTAAAAGGAGAATTATCAACTAAATTTTAAATGTAATGTATTCTCAATTAAAAATGCATTTGGAGAGGAATCATATTCTCTATTTTTAACATTAATATTTTGCATTGATATATCACCTTTTATCCAAGGATTTCAAAGCAGTTTCCGAACTTCAGTGAATTTAATCCTACCATTCTGTGAAATCTGAATGAATTTTAGTGACAAGCTGATAAAGAATTGGTAAATATAATTTAAGAGCTCTATGGTTTAAGCAGGAAGAATGATTTGGTGCTATTGATCACATTTTTAAAACAATGGATTTTTGTGAGCAAGCTGAATGACATTTCTGTAAGTATCTATGAAATGTCACAATTTACTGATATATTTTTTTTAAATCTGCTATTTCTGGTATGTGTGACAAGTAGTTATTTTTCTGCTATGTAACAGTACTTCCTTCACATCCTCAGAAAAGTTCATTTCTAAGTTTTGGAACTATTGAGGAGCCATGCTTTGAGCAGGAGAACTTGCAAATTTGGGTGATGGATCTGGCCCACATCTTGAGAAAGAAGATGAGGAACAGGGTGGAGAGTAAATGGTGGAAAAATGTATGGAAACCATGTCGGTCTTGGCCACACTGGAACTATAACAACAACTCTGGCCTTTTCTTTCTTTATCTTGAATATCACTTTGGATATCAGTGGAATTGGCAGAAATGCATATAACACATGTCTGTTTCATCTGGGGAGAAAAGCATCTCCAAGAGAATGGTGACCCAGACATTCTCTGGAGCAGAATTGAGAGTATTTCTTGTTCTTGGCTGTGGCGAACAGGTCTATCTTTGGAGTTCCCCGACGTATGAATATGTTGTGAAGGATGATAGTGTCTACTTCCCATTCGTAATCTTGGGAAAATTTTCTGCTGAGAATATCTGCTGTAGAGATCTGTATGTCCAGGAGGTAAAGTTGTTGAGATGCTGAACTGGTAACAAATGTACCAGTACCATATTTTCACTGTCTTGGCACACAGGGAACATGATCTTGCTCCTCCCTGGCGGTTTATGTAGAACATGCATGCAATGTTGTCTGTCATAATCTTTACATGTTTGTCTTTGACCACTGGTAGGAAATGTGAGCAGACATTCTTGACTGCTCTGAGCTCTAGTAAGTTGATATGTAGTGAGGATTCAAGAGGGGACCATTTGCCCTGAATGGTGTAGGTGTCGGTGTCCAAGTGGGCTCCCCATCCCATTAGGGATGCCATCCATTGTCAATGACAGGGGTGGTTGAGTGAAGGGGACTCCCGCACATACCTTGTGAGTATATGCCCACCAGTTGAGTGAGTTTTTGATTCTTGAGGAGATTGACAGAAGTTTGTTTAAATTGTGTCTTCTCGGGATATATACCTTCTGAGCCACCCTTGAAGACAACGCATGTGGAGTCTTGTATGCTTTATGACAAAGGTGCCCACCCACTACATGCTCCAGTAGTTGCAGACAGGTTCTGGCTGAAATCCGCGGACTGGCCCAAACTGTCGAGATTAAGCTGGCCAAGATGTTGAACCATGTGATGGGATGAAGGCTTTGAGCTCTATTGCATCTAAGCAGGTTCCTATGAATTCCAGCTGTTGCAATGGGGTCGAAGTGGACTTCTGGGTATTTAGTTATAGGCCTAGTTGCAGGAATAGATCTATAGTTTTTCGTGTCTCTCAAGGTGTAGGTGAATGTACGTACTTTGAGCTAGCAATCATCTAGATATAGAAATATCACGATGCCTTGTTTGTGAGGGTCCTCTTTTTCTTGGCCGATTCCCTGCTTGGGGAACTTGGGACCTGCTTTTTCAAGATTTTCTGAGAGGAATCTAAGGATTGCCTCTTTGAAGTCACTGAAGAGTGTTGATCCAACAATGATGATGGGATTGGTCTCAACAGGGACCGCTGTCCAGGGGAGGTCCCGGGCCCTGGGGCTGGTTGGACTGAGCTTTCAATCATGAGCAGTCTTAATTTCAGCTCATGGCTCTTTCTGGTTCTGGATTTTCATTTGAGACAAAACATGCACTTCTGAGGCATGTGTGCCTCTCTCAGGCAGTGAATGCAGCAAGAATGGCCATTGCTGACAGGAATGGCTTCCCAACAGGAGAGGCAACGTTTAAACCCAAGGGAGCCAGATATACTCCTTTCAGGGTTCACTTTCCGAATGGAAAG